TGGCCGGGTAGTTGTACATCCAAACAACTAAAAGACACTTAGTACAGATCTGAGAGTACTCGCATTTACTGACAGCTAGTTCAAAGCCACTAACAACTGATAAAAAAATCTTTGCATCTAAGACTAAATTATCAATCCGTAAGCTCCCTTTAGAATTTTATAAATTTTAGATTTTACATTTCTGAGTTGTGGGGTTTTATTCATTAAAAAAGGGGGGATTTTCCAGTTTTTGGACAACAACTCAAAAATGCTTTAAGCAGTTCGCATGAAACTTTGGTGAATTATTTTTTAGCTATTGATGTAATCTCCCTATTGATTTTCATAAATTTCAAATATGACATTGAGAAGAAATTGAACTTTATTTGTTTATAGTCTGGCAACAGATTTATTTAGTATTGCGCAACAGCACAGTGTATTGCACAACAGCAAGAAATCTTTAATTGAATATAAATTCAATTCATATAACCGATTTCAAGTTCTTTGACTACATTTATTCAGAAACTATAATATGTCAAATATTTAATTACAATCCAAATTCAGACCTGTATCAAGCTTGAATATTGTGTCCATTTTTGCCCCAACTGTTCAGGGTTGGACCTCTGCAGGTGTATCCAGCTGTGCTCAGCGAATCAGTTTATTTCTTAATTAAGAACTCCTTTTTGTCGAGCCTGCGACTTTTGTGGCAGAAAGCTCGACATAGGGATAGTGATCCAGTGGCGGCGTTGGCTAACTTCTTAAAAGCTTTATATTTTAGAAGGTGGAAGGTCTGGATGCTTCATACTTTGTATATGGATGCCTCATGTTATGAAGTTTCCGTCAGTCACATGTCCAATGTCCTTGACCTCATTTTCATGGTTCAGTGACTACTTGAAAAAAAAGTTAAGATTTTTTGTAATGTTAAATTCTCTCTTATTATAAGTAATAGGATAACTATATTTGGTATGTGCGTACCTTGCAAGGTCCTCATGCCCGTCAGACAGTTTTCACTTGACCTCGACCTCATTTCATGGATCAGTGAACAAGTTTATGTTTTGGTGGTCAAGTCCATATCTCAGATACTATAAGCAATAGGTCTTAGTATATTCGGTGTATGGAAGGACTGTCCAGCTGGCAGGTGTTATCTGACCTTGACCTCATTTTCATGGTTCAGTGGTTATAGTTAAGTTTTTGTGTTTTGGTCTGTTTTTCTTATACTGTATGCAATAGGTCTACTATATTTGGTGTATGGAATGATTGTAAGGTGTACATGTCTATCTGGCAGGTGTCATCTGACCTTGACCTCATTTCCATGGTTCAGTGGTCAAAGTTAAGTTTTTGAGTTTTGGTCTTTTTTTCTAATACTATATGCAATAGTTCAACTATATTTGGTGTATGGAAATATTTTATGATCTATTTGTCAGTCACGCAGGTTTTTTTTTACCTTGACCTCATTTTCAAGGTTCATTGCTCAGTTTTAAGTTTTTGTGTTTTGGTCTGTTTTTCTTAAACTATAAGCAATAGGTCAACTATATTTGTTGTATGGAAGAATTGTTAGCTGTACATGCCTGCCTAGCATGGTTCATCTGACCTTGACCTCATTTTCTTGGTTCATTGGTCAATGTTTAGTTTACTTGGTTAATGTTAAGTTTATGTGACAGTTGTAATAAAGCTTTATATTTAGGACTATCAACATAATATCAATGATTAGTAAAGAAGGCGAGACATTTCAGCGTGTGCACTCTTGTTTCATTCATAAATTACTTTATACTTGGAAATATAATTTTGCTTGGAGTTATAGTTTCTAAAAAAAGTATTGTCATTGAAAGAGTTGACATGTTGCAATGTACATTTATTCTACATAGTTTTATGGTACCAAATCAAAAGTTTATATAAAAGAAAGAAGTCAAAGTTTTCCCATCATAGTTTAGTTACATACATTTTTTGTACCTGAGGTCGTTGAATATAGATCATTATATAAATAAGGAGATGTGTCATGATTGCCAATGAAACAACTATCACCCATACATTGTACTTACCAGTAACAAACCACATTTGCAAAGTCGAATAAAATACAGTTGATAACATTTACTTATTACTAAAAAGAAAATGCCAAACTATTTTTAACAGTATTTGACTATAAACATAGATAAAAAAGGTACAAACTGGACATAATGCACTAGTTCATAAACAAATGAGAACAATCGCCTTCATATAGTGCTCAGAATATGACATTCATAAAACTTGTTCAATATCATTAGAGAACTCTAAATCTTAAATACTGAAAGCCACCTCTGATAAGTACAATGTACAATGTACTATGCAAGATAATGATATAATTGGACTAAAAATACACACAACCTGTAATTAACTGCCTTTACAGCGCTTTCGCGCTTTGATTATTTTTATGCCCCACCTACAATAGTAGAGGGGCATTATGTTTTCTGGTCTGCGCGTCCATTCGTCTGTTCATTCGTCGGTCTGTCCCGCTTCAGGTTAAAGTTTTTGGTCAAGGCAGTTTTTGATGAAATTGAAGTCCAATCAACTTAAAACTTAGTACACATGTTCACTATGATATGATCTTTCTAATTTTAATGCCAAATAATAGTTTTTTCCCCATTTCCACAGTCCACTGAACATTGAAAATGATAATGCAAGTGGGGCATCCGTGTACTATGGACACATTTTTGTTTCATATACTTTTAGCAATAGGTCAACTATATTTGGAATGATTGTAAGGTATACATGTCTGCCTGGCAGGATTCATCTGACCTTGACCTCATTTTCATGGTTCATTGATTAATGTTAAGTTTTCATTGTTAAGTTTAATCTTAGATATGCAAAAGGACAACTATATGTAATTTAAAGAATATTTGGTGTAAGGAATGATTGTAAGGTGTACATGTTTTCCAGTTTTATCTGACCTTTGACCTCATTTTATTTGATTAGGTTAAGTTTATGTGATAGTTGTAGTACAGTTTATATTTAGAACTATTAACATAATATCAATGGTTAGTTGAGAAAGCAGGACATTTCTGCGTGTGCATTCTTATTGTAGGATTATAAGAGACATGCATATTGCTCATATAACCACTACTGTAAATTCAGAAATTATTGCGTGCATTTATTATTGCGATTTTTGTAGAATGGACAAAAATGCGAGATTAATTATTGCAAGTTGTACAAAAACTGCACACATTTATATCTGTCAGATATCAGAATGCGAGTTCTTATTTTCTTAGCATTTTCGGGAGGAAACAATTAAATATTTGGTCTTGATTTAGCAAAGGTTGAAATAAAAGTACTTGTATTTTTTATACGACCGCAAACAAATTTTTGTGGTCGAATATTGGTATTACGTTGGCGTTGTCGTCCTCGTCCGAAGACACATTAGTTTTCGCACTCTAACTTTAGTTTAAGTGAATGGATCTCAATGAAATTTTACCATAAGGTTCAATACCACAAAAGGAAGGTGGGGATTGATTTTGGGGGTTATTGTACCAACAGTTAAGGAATTAGGGGCCAAAAAGGGGCCAAAAATAAGCATTTTTGTAACTTCCAGACAATAACTTGTGTGTAAGTGTATGGATCCCTCTGACATTGTACCACAAGGTTCTATATCACAAAGGGAATGCTGGGATTGATTTTGGGGGTAATTGCCTCCAAATTTTAGGAATTAGGGGCCAAAAAGGGGCAAAAAACAAGCATTTTTCTAGTTTCTTGACAATAACTTGCGTGTAAGTGTATGGATCTTTATGAAATTGTACTACAAGGTTCCATATCACAAAGGGAAAGCTGGAATTGACTTTGGGGGTATTTGCCCTAAACGTTTAGGAATTTGGGGCCAAAAAGGGGCAAAAAATAAGCATTTTTCTAGTTTCCAGACAATAACTTGTGTTCAAGTGTATGGATCTCTCTGAAATTGTACTGCAAGGTACCATACCACAAAGGAAAGGCTGGGATTGATTTTGGGGGTAATTCCTTCAAAATTTTAGTAATTAGGGGCCATAAAAGGGCAAAAAAACAAGCATTTTTTCTAGTTTCAGGACAATAACTTGTGTGTAAGTGTATGGATCTTTATGAAATTGTACTGTAAGGTTCCATATCACAAAGGGAAAGCTTGGATTAAGTTTTGGGGTAATTGCCCTAAACGCTCAGGAATTTGGGGCTAGAAAGGGGCCAAAAAACAAGCATTTTTCTAGTTTCCAGACAATAACTTGTGTTCAAGTGAATGGATCTCTCTGAAATTGTACTGCAAGGTACCATACCACAAAGGGAAAGCTGGGATTGAGTTTGGGGGTGATGAATCATAAGAGGGTTCAAAAAATTGGGGGGGGAGATTTTTTTTTCATTTTTTTTCTTTAAAAGTTTCCATTTTAAATTGGTTATTTCTGATTTATATATAAAAGCAAATAATAATGATATGGTTTGAATAGGTAAATAAAAAATTTTTAAGTTCTTAGACCACTTTCATTCTGTGTCAGAAACCTATGCTGTGTCAAATATTTAATTACAATCCAAATTCAGTGCTGTATCAAGCTTGAATGTTGTGTCCATACTTGCCCCAACTGTTCAGGGTTTCGACCTCTGCGGTCATATCAAGCTGCGCCCCAGCGGAGCATTTTATTAAATTTAAACTTCTTGTTTTCTGATAGGTTGACTAAAATTTTACACCAGAATATTACTCAATCTTTGAAAGGGAACAAAATACATAATGCCCCTAGGTGAGTCCAGGGACTATACTACCGTACTAGGGGCATTACTTTTTTGGTCTGTGGGTCTATCCATTCATCTGTATGTCCTGCTTCAGGTTAAAGTTTTTGGTCAAGGTAGTTTTTGATGAAGTTTAAGTCCAATCATCTTGAAACTTTGCACACATTTTAATGCAAAATTAGAGTTTTGAACCAATTTTCACGGTCGACTGAACATAGAAAATGATGATGCAAGAGGGGCATCGTACTATGGACCCATTCTTGTTATATCTCTTATAATTTACCAGGCTGAATATGAAGGTTTATCATCAGATGAAGATACTACACTCCAACTTACTAGTCAGGCAGGTGGAGGCAAAGAAGATAAAGTTTTAATTTTGGTTGAAAGATTGTCAATGTATGAGGCAGGAGTTCAGAGTGCTAAGTCAGCAGGTGATACCTCTAAACAGAAAAGATATGGTAGAGCCCTTAAGGTACATTATGTATTTTTAGATGAAATGACTGACAAGACCTTCTTTTTATCTTCATGAATTGTCTTATGAAATATATTGACATTTACTGAACTGGTATTGCTTCTTATTTTGGGTTATTTTTGTAGAAAAAACTAAATATAAAGAAAAAACCATTACACAGGTATTGAAATACTGTTATACCCTTATCTATCTGTCTGCTGCATTTTTGTTCATCAGTCAGTGTGTCTTATTAAATGTCATCACATTTTTCGCAGGAACTAACTATCAAGGCTTTCTCCAATCTGGGAATCAAGGTTCATATGAGCGAGTTAATCTGTGTGCTACAGGTTCAAATTCATCACTTAACAACTTCTGGTTTAAAGTCATATGAAACGAGTGACCGGTAAAAAAAATCCAATTCTTGAACCAATGCATACATATATCATGAACTTGTCTTCTGTGCATGATTTTATCATTTTTTTCACATACATTTCGTAAAATCGTCAAAAATATTTCAATGTATAAGTGTTGTTGTAAAAATATGGCAGCTAATTAATGGTCGTGTTTTGAAGCCGAAGTTTAACGATTGACACCTATTTGTAAACAATCAACAAAGAAGCACGGATATTCAGGTAAGCACGTGTATAACAGGTACAATAAGATCTGGTTTATCTTGATGACGGAGCGATGTTTACGTTTCATTTTCCATTCACACTTGTGTATTGCGATCACAGGATTTTTTACATAAAGTCCTGCTGAGGTAACTGCATACGCAAAACATGTCTTAGAATAGTTTGCTGGAAGCAAGCAATTAAACAAAGTAAACCTTCTAAATTTTGACAAATTAGAGAATTTTCTTGAGAAAAAGGTATATGTACATAAGTTTTATAATAATTGCTAGCCATTTAGTAATAAAAAACACTAGAACACACCCGCAAAATCGCGGGCATTTATATTTTAGAGCATATGTAAATTTTTGCAGGATAATTTTTTATAAAATAATTTATAACTGGTCAATTTCAGGAAAGGTATCAAAAGTCATAGGTACTTGGGGACAGGACAATTTTTTTTTTGCCCTCCCCCTTTTTTCCAAAGATCGATTTTTTTTTTGGGGTTTTCTGTTTTTTCTGTATACTATGAACATACATATACTATAAATACTATCATGAAACGGTCAGTGATATATTTTATCATATACATATATAATAGCTTATCTATGATTATATAGAGACTCTCTATATAATATATCAGTGACCGCCATAGATAGTAAACTATTAGAATTGATAATATATAGCAAATGCACTTTATTTGTAGTACATGTATATGTATGATCATAGTATACAGAAAAACGTGAAAAATTATTCATCTGTCCCCAAGTACTTGTAAAAAAATTTATGTAATTTTAGAATAGTCCTAAAAGGAAGTCCTTTTCTCAAACATGTCAAAGGTCAGTCTGATGAAGGAAACAATATCCGGACGCCTTTTTTTTCCATTTTCCTCCCAAAATAACCAAAACTGAATAATCATAAGCAAGGATGATACATGCGACTATGCATTCTACCTAAAGGACACAGAGGCATGATGATTAATTTATTGTGGAAGAAAGAGAAGCAACACACAAAATGAGGTCTTCTCATTTAATAGTATAGATAATGCATATTTTTTTTTAATTTGAAGTTTCATATGATTTGACAAACACTTTTACATTGTACTCATATAGCCAAGTGGCAAATTGATTTTGATATGGTTTTGGCAGTTAACTACATACAGGCAAGTAATATTCCTTTACATTTCATGTTTATTTTGGTTTTTTACAATATGTTTTTCCCTGATATTTACAGACAATACAAGATTTACTACAGCAGACGCATCAAGGAAAGCTAGTTGATGAAAGTGATATACCACCTAGAATACCTGTTGATGAGCCAAAGAAACAAAGACCAGGTATAACCACACTAGATCAATGTTACGTTAAATGAAACCGTAATAAGAATTTTGTTACAGTCCTACAATATTTTATAAAGTTTTCTAACAGTCTCACAGGACATGGATTCACAAGTTATCAATGTTGGAATGTCCCCAAACATCATACCAAAAGAAAGAAAGAAGTTCAATCAGATTTTTTATACACACATCACAATTTCATTTCAACTGAACATTTTTAATATTGATTATTCTGATGATCTAATTGTTAAAAAGTGTTAGGCCAGTCATTCCAGATGTATTCCCCTTTGTTGATGGTTATCTTTGTTAAAACTTTAACAAATAAACAAATTTTACATAAAGGGATAAATTCTGGACAGTCTTGCAAACAAAAAAATTATAATTTTTATATGAGAAGCCTGCTTTTCATATGTTTTGTAAATTGTTTTTGTTTAAACCAGATAAAAAGGAAGAGTTCTTGAGATAAATCTTGGAATAAAGATTGCAGTAGGTTTATTTACTAACATTGATGACATGTATATTTCAATTGTTTATTTAACAGAAGGGGCAACAAAGCAAAGTGAAATACAACCAACTGTCAAGCCTACTACAAAATCACACAGTGAACAACCAAGTACATCACCTTCTTCACAACAAACCCAAGAATTGAACAATGAACCAACATCACCATCACATGGTATTTATTCTAGATCTCGTAAATGGGTCAATGGTTTCAAAACACAGTTGACATACATTCTCATTATTAGGGCCCCGCCGATTGCCGCCCTATAGTGATCAGTCTGTCCGTCTGTCTGTCCGTCCATCCATCCGTCTGTAACAATTCGTGTCCGCTCTATATCTAGAGAACTGTTATGATTTCAAAGTTTATACTTGATATGTATATAAACAAACACCAGAGGGTGTGTCATAATTTATGTACAACTTCCTAGGTCAAAGGTCAAGGTCAAAAACTTTGGTTTCATTTGACAACCCCATGTCCAATGATAAAGATACAAATTTTTTACCACACATTATTCACAGCGGGGCCCACAGAGATGGCTCCCATCTCAATGATATCTAGTTTTTTCAGGGTTTGTCTATATTCATCTGAATATTGTTGAAGTCATATTAAAAAATTTTTATAACATTCCTAATTTCGGTGTTTATAAGATTAATAAGATAAAACATACAGTTCCATGCATCAGAAATCACTTTAAATGGTAAAACTTTATTCATATTACGAGTTAATCCTTAGTCAAAATGATTTTGTATAACCTGTTTTTTTCAAAAATTATTCTAAAAAACCTTCAAAATTTAGTGACTGCAATAATTCTTGCAAATTAGGAGACTTACAATTATGGTGTCTGTATTTTAGAAATAGAAACAGAGCAGATGATAGAAACAAAAAGAGATCAGTACAAAACAACAACTCTGCAGCCAAAGCAGTCTGGGGATATTAACACAGCTATAAGTAATGTACAGACAGCCAAGGTATAAAATAATTTGATATCAGTATATGACTTTTAGCAAAAGAAAACAAATGTAATTCCTAATTGATAGTATGTTTATGTCTTAAAATGAGCATTTCTTGCTAATAACTTGAATTAATAAACAGTATCTGAGATGTTCTTCCCATGACCCAAAAGTGTGCTTTCCTCATCACTCATTTTCTGTTCAGTTTTACAAAAATCTTCTCATCTGAAAGTATTGAGCTAAAAAATTCAATCCAACTTTGCATTGACCATTCCTTGGGTACATATATGGCCACTGTAGCTTAAAAAAGAACATATGGGCATAATGCAGACAGGAGGGCGGACTATAGAGTGGGATAAGCAAGAAAAAGAGAGGGGGGGGGTGGGGGGGGGGGGGGGGGGGGTAAAAGGTGGTTTGTTCACTTTCTGCCATGTTTGGTATTGATATTGTAGTGGGCACTATTTTTATGAAACTACTGGGCCAAATTTAACCAAACTTGGCCACAATCATCATTGTGAAATTTAGTTCAATAAATGTATCCAATGACCTGGCCAACCAACTAATTATAAGATTGCCACAATGGCTAAAAATAGAAAATATAGGTAAAATGTAGATTTCGGCTTATATCTCTGAAACCAAGGCGTTATTAAAGGACAAATCTGACATGGTTTAATATTGTTCAACAGGTCATGATCTATATGCCCTGAAATATTCAGACAAATCAGACAACCCCTTGTTGGGTTGCTGCCCCTGAATTGGTAATTTTAAGTAAATGTTGCAGTTTTTGGTTATTATCTTGAATATTATTATAGATATAGATAAACTATAAACAGCCTGACCATGCCTGCAAACCAACATGGCTAAAATTATAACATATGGGAAAATGCAGTTTTTGACTTTAATCTCTTAAACATCAATTGTAAATAAAATTATCATGTGAGTGACACAGGCTCCTTGGAGCCTCTAGTTTACTTTCAAAGTTGTATTCTAGTGGTATCTATTTAGTATATATTTTCCGTACACTATTACTGTATTTATTTTTTCATACGTGGTTATTCAAACTTCCAGTTTGCTCATTAACATATACAAGTTTCTAAATTGTCTTTTGGATTTTAATTTATTTTAACACCAGTGAAGTGAAGTGAAGTGTTCTAGAATTATTTCAAGCAGTTTTAACTTCTACATGAAGATAGAAAACAGGTTTTTCCATGAAAATACCGCAAACAACCACACAGGATTTGAAATTACTGGAGTTTCATTAGACATTTCCTAATAATAATAAAAAGGTTTTTTTTCCTGATATTTCATGATGAGAAAGGATACAATTGAGGACAATGTACCTGTGCGAACTATACAAATTTAATATCAATGTTTATATACAGGTGTGACTAGCAGTAATAGAAATAAAGGATAACTTTAATCTTTACAGATTCCATCACAAATGAGTGGTCATGGTTCTCCTCAGGACAGGAAACCAGTTCCTAAAATAGCTGATCAAGTAGGCTTTGGAGGGGAGAAAATGAGTACTGGTAAAAGGCCTGACAGAAAATTTGAGGATTCTCCATATATTCAGGTATGTTTAGGTGCATATTGTTAAACATCATGTAAATGGCATGACACAAAAAAAATATTCTTTTTTTTTCTGCCAGCCTCTTATAAGCTCAGTGTTCTGAATGAAATGTGAGCTTTAGCCATCACTGGGTGTCCGATGTCGTCTTCAATTTGGTGTAAACTATTTCAATCAACTTCTTCTCTGAAACTACAGCTATACCAATTCCAACCAAAGTTCCGCTGAATGATCCTTATGGAATCTAGAATATAGTATGTGTTTTATTTTCTGTTTCGTAAAAAAACATGGCCGACATGGCTAACAATAGAACATCGGGGGTAAAATGCCGTTATTGGCTTATATCTCAAAAACTAAAGCATGAAGAGCAAATCTGAAATCGGGTAAACATGTTCAGGAGGTTAAGTTCTATCAGCCCTGGAATTTTTAGATTGTTGGGTTGCTGCCAGTAAATTGGTAATTTTAAGGAAATTTAAGTTTTGGGTTATTAACTTGAATATTATTACAGATAAGCAAACAACAAAAATTTTCATCAAAGTAAGATTGATTAATAATGTTACGTGGACAAAATTGTCAATTGACCCCTAAAGGAGTTATTGCCCTTTAAATACAATTTTACACAATTTGTTTATCATGTTTTCTAACTTTAAAAAATATGGAAGAATTAAAAGTTTCGAACTGTTTGACAAATTCCATTTCCATTTATGTTATCTCTATCCTTTATTTCATAAGGGGTACAGTAATATATATTAAACTATATCTGAAATTTTGAATACCAAAAACAATTTTACATTTTATTATGACAGATTGTTATTCTTGTAATAGATTTTAATGCATTCATTTCATCAATTTTGTCATGTAGTAAATAAATAATAACAAAATATAAAACCTTATCATTTTTAAATTGTCAAGTGCATAGTTTTTTATAGTTCAAGAGGGATTATCTCTTTCAGGAGGATTCCTTGAGAATAGATATAAGTGACAGCGAAGAGGACACTAGTGAAGCTTCGGTAAGATATCAGTAATATAAGTAATATGCATGCTATTTTATAGATTCATCACAAGCCTATAATATGTAGAACAATTAAAAGGCCTCTGATTTGCTTTTTTATTGACATTTTAAATCCGTGGATTTTCTTTAGTGTAATAAAATCATAAATCTTTTACCTATGCATGTTTGTATTCATATGTTTAATAAGATATTCATTGTCATTAAATCTGAGATTAATTGTCTGAAATCACTTACGTATAAGTGAATAGATGTATATGAAATTTAACTATAAGGGTTATGGTCCCAACTGTTTCGAATTAACGTTTTTCTTGTTTCCCGCCAGTAACTTGTGTGTAAGTGTCTGGATCTCTGTCAAATTGTACCACAAAGTTCCAAACCACAAAGTGAACATTTGGGGTTATGGCCCTAAAGTTCAGGATTTAGGGGCAAAATGGGGAAAAACAAGTTTTTTTTTTTCTGGTTTCTGGACAATTAAGTATTAGTCGATGGATCTCTCTGAAATCATATCAAAAGGTTCTGTACCACACACAGTAGGTTGGGGTAGATTGTGGGGGTTATGATTTCAACCATTTAGAAACTAAATGCCAAATAGGGGCCAAAAACCTTTCTTATAATGGCTAAGCTGGTTTAACATAGATTATTTCTGATATATAGTGTAACGGTATGTCTCTTCCCTGAAATGGAACTTGTTTCCTCTAAAATTGTGTGTTTAAATTGTCCTGATAATTGACCTTTCTTACCCTTAATTTTTTTTTACTGAAACCACACATACTTTTCTATTGCTTTTTATATATGATTTGTACATTTTTAGCTCACCTGGCCCAATGTTGTCATACACTACAATCATTCAGATGTCTGCACTTATTAAATGGCTCTTCAGACAGCAGTAAATTTATTTCCATTAAGTTGGGAAAAAGTTAATGTCTTGGGGAATGATAAACTTGCCATTGCCCTCGAACTCATAGCCAGTCAATAAGTGTATGTTATATAATTCTTCAAATTTCCTTCTTCAAATTTCATCAATGGATACAGTTAATTTTTGTTCATTATTTAATAATTTGATATTAAAACTGTGTGATATTTGCATTTTTATTGTTTTAATAGTTGCCAACAATGAACATTGTGAAAAAGATGAAAAGGGTTGAAACAGGTATAGTAAATGGCTGGTTGCACCAACATGAATTCAACTCCTACACAGTTTTCAACCCTGATCTCTAAAACTTTACAGACAAATTTTCCTTATTGTTGAAATTTTGCACTTGCTATTATAGAATTAATATAAAATAAATTAATAAACTGTGTATTTTTATGCATGACTTCTGGGCATTGTGTGTATGGTCTGTCCGTTCATTTGTCTGTCTGTCCCACTTCAGGATAACGTTCTTGGTCAAGGCAGTTTTTGATGAAGTTGAAGCTCCATCAACTTGAAATTTATGATGCATGTTCCTTTTGATATGATCATTCAAATTGCAATGCCAAATTAGAGTTTTGACACAATTTCATAGTCCACTGAACATAGAAAATGATAGTGTGAGTGGGGCATCTGTGTACTACGAAGACATTATTGTTTTTTTAATGATTTCTTACAATTTTCAATTCAACACATAAACCGCCAAATTTGAACTTCACTGTTAAATTTCATATGTAATATTGTCCTGAAGAAGCCATGCTTGTTGGCGAAACATGTCGACCAGAATAAACTTTTACCATGTGGTAATTGATGTGTGTTGTTGTCTTTATTATCTTTTCATTTTACTTATCTTGTGAAAGACAACTGTGGATACCTTTTGGTATCCACCCACTTTTAACCAACCACACAATTACCACTTCAGGTGTTGGTTCACCTTGTTGAAGGATGTTTGCTTCTCAGTTTCAAAATATCAAGCTTTTCATAACACTAGTATATATTGATAGGGTATTAATAAAGGAACCAAAAGAGCCAAAAATAAATATAGGTCAATGTGCTTGTTCTGAAATAATAGCCATTGAAAATTTGGCGGGAAAATGTTCTCTCTTGATTTTTCATAGCTTTATCATTGACAAGTTTTAAGTTCTCAAAACCTATTAAAAAATATCAAAAGATTTTATAAGACTTTTATAGATGGCTTATAATTATACATGTAAAAGATTTATTTTAAAAGAAAATGGGGGTCAATGCTCAAAATTTTTTAAGGCATTCAAATGGATATAATCAGATGATTCCGAAAATTTGACAAAAATTCCTAAACATGACAAGCGAACATCCTTAAGTTCAATTTTCAATTAAATACAAAACTTTAATGGTTACCTGCTTGTCTTTCAAAAAAACAGTTTCAAAAATATTAAGTAAAATATCATATTCATACAATTAGTGACACAACAAAGTATGTTAACAATTTTTTTAGTGAAAGAAGATGTCATTATTTTATATTTAAATTTATAATTTTGGAAACAAATGGCATAAAAAAAAACACAATAGAAAAATACTTCTTTGAAGTCCGTTTAGTTGGTTAACACAACTATAATCTTTTACAGGTTGTAACCTGCTGACCTTGGAAGAGAAGAAGAAATTGAGACATGATGCAAGTATACTTAAATTTACATTTAGCTTATATTCTTTAATTACTGTCATAAGTTCATGACTGAATAAATACATTAGATTATGTTTCACAAAAATCCAGTAGTTTAATTGGTTAACAGCAATTGTATGTCATTCTTAAATTAACCTTCTTTTCAAAATGAAATGTAACATTTATGATGACATGTGCTTCCTCAAAAAGTGCCCACCCACACTTTAAAAAAGTGGGAGTATACTGCTTTACCTCTGTCAGTCCATCTATCCACCCATGAATATTTTTTGTCAAAGTGGGGTTATACTTCATTACTTCTCTCTGTCTCACTGTCAGTCCATCCATCCGTCAGTCCGTCTGTAGTACCATGAATATTTTTTGTCGCATCTTTCTCAGGAACTATATTACAAGGATTTCTGAAATTTGGTTTCAGAGTTGATATGTTTCTGCTATGATGTGTGATGCGTTTTCAGATCCTATATGTAAGTCAGTTATGCCATGTGATGCTTTCCAGATTCATCTATAAACCATTTCCTGTTTACTGAACACTTACATAACTTTACACATTTGTAGCCAAGTTGAAAAATTTCTTGATATTTTTCACAAGTACTACATCACAAGGATTTCTGGAATTTGGTTTCAAGTTTTATGTATAAAGTCAGTTGTACCATGTGATGCATTTGCACATCCATCACTCAACAACTTCCTGTTTAGCGAAGTGGGTGAGGGTATTATCAGTGAGCAGTTCCCTCTAAGTTTTACTTCTGTCTATATGTATATTCCAAAAATTGGTTTTCTTTGTCTAACTCTACTTTGCCTAAACTATGTGTATAATTTTCATCTTAGTTGTAGATCCATTTGTGGACTTGGATTGTTGTCCACAACTTGTTGGGGTTGCTCTCTCTATGACACATGTTTGTGGGTTTCCTTCTTCTTTAATATTACAAACAAAAAATGTGGTTTCATTCTATACCCAGCATTATTTTATTTATGCTTAAAGCCTTTTAATTAATTTTTATTTCCAGATGGCAAAGGATTTTGTCCCAGGGAAACCTGGATTGATTTCAAAAGAATTTATGGTCCTGAATAAGGATTCAATTTATTCAAGATATTTTGACAGTTCCACCACAATTAAGGCAAGTATTTTAATCAGAATAAACTGACTTTCCAATAGAATAACTTTCATAAATTTGAATTATAAAATAACTTCATTTTCTGTCTAACATATGTATGGTTAATAAGTTAAGTTTACAGTAGTTAAGCTCAAAGTTATGCAGTGTATATTGTTTTCCAATGTACTCCAAACTGTGACAGAGAGAATGATAATGCCTTTAGACACCTAGTATTACTTAATAGTACTGTCATGATACATTGATATCTAATGATACCTGCCTAATGAATTGCGAAGAGAAAGATTTTTATACTTGGTCACTACCTTGACAATGATGAGTTGTGATGTGTATACACTATTCAAATTTGTTGAGCACCAACAACCTTTTTTGTGTATACTTTGAAGTATGGGTGTTAAGTATGCTGATTTGCACTCAAACCACTTCTTCTTTATATTAAATTAGCATTTCTTACTGTTCATTCTTGTTATGTTTTAACAAATGATAATGTTGATTATATATTTATATATTACAGGGTCTTTACAATTGGATAGTGGCAACAATTCCTTATGAAATGTTGCCAGCTAAGTTCATCCTAAAATGTTTACAATCATGCAAGGAGGTGGACTGTTGCCACGCTTTTCCAATATCAACAGTGATGGACAGAGATGTATTTTTACGCTCCGTCCCAACAAAGTTAATGATCTCTCCAATTGTAAGTTTACGATAAGCAAACATGAAAACTTGATACATTATTTTCTGTACAACCAAAACAGACAGAATATGTTCCATTACTGTCGCATTTATTCAATTTCTAGCACATACAAATAGGAATAAAAAGTTTCCTTTGTCAAAACCTTGCCGGTTGGAAGCTAACTGCCATAATAAATAAAAAAATGCAAATGGGAAAATCAGCATTGTGATAGAGGTACAAAAATAATACAAAATTGATTTTTATTGACAATCACAGTCACTGATTTATAAATTCTGACTCAAGGCAACATCAACTGAAACTGAAAAAGATTTTCTTTTTTTCTTTCTAAAATCTATCTTATCTTATTTTATCTTATAGACATCTACATATCAGGTTAAAAATTACAGCCAATTTCACTGAGTGTGTAGCTAAAGGTAATATCTTCGGTTAGCTTGCTTGCTAGCTGAACTGTGAAGTCATTATAAGGTAAGGTATACTACCCTCCTTTCTGAGTAGCTTTTTCCTACAGACAGATAGATTGGTTATCTGTTGGACTAGTCTATTCTTAAAGGAGGGCAGTTTACCTTACCTAATAATGACTTCCTGGTTCAGCTAGCTTGTGGTGGAAATGTGATTGTCTGACCATAACCAAAGATATTAACTTTAGCTACACATTCAGTGAAATTGGCTGTAATTTTTAACCTGATATGTAGATGTCTATAAGATGAAATAAGATAAGATAGATTTTATTTCCAATAGAGGACCCATTATAGGCATAGTCAGTACATTGATTTTGTTTATATCACACAATTGCAATAGACAATACAATGTCTATATTAAATATGTAGTCACTAATTGCATCCAGTATAAAAGAAAATGTACACTTCATTTGTGTAAAAGGCAAACTTCAATGACAGATAAGCATCTTGAAATAATATTTTATGATTTCTTTTTTGGCTTTTAAGTTCATGTATTTACTTTTGCAGTGTGACAATCCTGAAACTACCTTTACCTGTTATGATGAGGTATATTTCAGTTATGGAGACCTTTAAGGAACAGGACCAGTAAATGAAAGCAGACTAATGTGTATTTAAATTAAAGAAAACATTGTAAAATATTGCAAGAATAATTTTTTTATTGATTTATACATGTACTTGGAAGTGTAAAAGTTTTGATGTAATAATGTTCATAATTGTCAGATCTTTTTTGAAAAAAAACATCTATAATGGTTTCATTCCATATAAAAACTGACATGGTTGTCAATAAGTAAGGTTGTTTCTATTACAAAAAAACCCTGATAGTTACAAATTGTTGAACACTTTTTTGCATATGTAATTTTCATTGATATTTTGGTTTTATCAAACTGATGGTTTTGGTTTTATCAAACTGATGGTTTTGGTATTTTAACGCTATAAAATGAGGTCACAATTACCTAAAAGCTTTTGCCATTACTTTGCTTCCATCTTCCTCAACCAACAAGAACCAAACTTAAGTTAAATGATCCTTGAGTATCTAGAATATAGTTTGTGTTTTATTTTCTGTTTCATCAAAAAACATGGAAGCCATGGCTAAAAATAGATCACTGGGTAAAATGCTGTTCAAAATTTATCTGTTCATGAAATTTAAAGACCAATTTGACAACCCGTTGTTGGGTTTATATAATAAATTTCTTAGTTTTCAATTGTCTGAGTATTTTTTTAGATTAAGAGAAACTGTAAACAGTGAAAATTCATAAGGGTTCAGTGGAACCAAGTGTCTCACCTACTTTTGATGTTTGTGGCAGGCTCAAAAAATTTGGAAAAATGTAGGATCACTAGGTCTCGCTGCAGGCTTGATAAAGATGTAATCCTCAAATAAGTGAATGACAAAAATATATCTTTTATAAGAGTTAGGCCAAATACAAATATATGTGTGGTTACAGTTACCCTACCTTCCGTACTTTTTAGTCTGAACAATAAAGCCTACCCAAAAGAAAATTTTTTGTCATTAGTTCAGCACAGATATAGTCAGAATGTTGCTCCTATACACATAATGTAAAAAAAAAACAACTTAAAATTGAAATAAAATTACTAACTACCTACCCTTAATTTTTTTTTACTGAAACCACACATACTTTTCTATTGCTTTTTATATATGATTTGTACATTTTTAGCTCACCTGGCCCAATGGGCCAAGTGAGCTTTTCTCATCACTTGGCGTTTGTCATTGTCCGGCGTCCATCATCCGTTAACCTTTACAAAAATCTTTTCCTCTAAAATTTTTAGGCCAAGTTTAACCAAATTTGGCCACAATCATCATTGGGGTATCTAGTTTAAAAAACGTGTCCGATGACCCGGCCAACCAACCAAGTTGGCAGCCATGACTAAAAATAGAACATAGGGGTAAAATGTAGATTTTGGCTTATATCTCTGAAACCAAAGCTAATATGACCTAAACAAAAAGCAAAGATAATCATTGATGACTAGGTGTGCAATTCAGGCTCTTTGAACAAAGAGTTATCAATAGATTTATGGCCAAGTTTATGTGATGATCAGCCAAAAAATAACATTATTTTTGTCTTATACACAAATCTTATCCATAATAAATATCTTGTGTTCTTATGTTTTTTTTTTAATACTGTATCATGTTGTCATGGAAATAGACAGAAATATGTGAAACAAAAGACTTTGTGCTTGTATAAGCAGCTCATAAAACACTGATAATTTGTACACTTTGTGAAAATGATAATGTTTACAACATTACAAATTGTATACAACAAATATACACAATGATGTACAGTTCTGCTTTTAAATTTTATAAATGGACAAAATAAAACTTCAAATGATTTAATGTGTTTTACAATAAATCACACTTTGTATTTGAACAACTTTATATCTGAAAGTAGCTTCACAGGGTTAATTCCCTTTTTTCAATTTAACACTTGTACACTTTATCTTTAAATTACCCAGAAATACCACACTAACAGTAATAAAACATGAATGATTTTCTTGCATTTGTTATATCATATGCTTGATAAGGATACCTGCTTCTTGTGCAACTTCTGCAACTATTAGATAATCAGTATAAGTGTGTGTTCAGACTCCAAAAGTTTGTCTGCACAATATAGCTTGTTATTATCTCTGTTTGGGATTTGGTATGGAATATGTTTAAAAGATTTGAAAAACATTAATTTTTCTGAAAATCTGCCTTGTCATTACGTTTGGATATCTGTCAATACCTTAATTTTTTGTATCCATCCGTATAATTTTGCAGGGGCATGGTAAATATAATTGTAGACAAGCCCCGTCCATCTTTGCAGCCATTATTGTTTCTTGGTGCAAAATCAATTACTTAAGTAACAATGGAAATATATTTGAAATTTAGTATCAACTGGAATATATACTAGAACTATATCAACCAATGGAAAGTATGTAAATCAGCTGCCATGTTACAAGTAATTACTGAAGAAAATGGTTTGTTAAAATTTGGTGAGCTACCCAAAATAGACACAAGTGACAATAATTGAGATCCAGCAGCCAAAAAACTCTAAGCTGTTCCAAATTCAGTTGTTGATTCTGTCATTTTGTTTTTTGTAGATTGTTTTGTTATAATTTAGGCAGTTAGATTCTTTGTTAGAATTTTTTCACATTTTTGTCCAGCCTAGGCGGTACAGGGATAGTGATTTGGTGGTGGCTTAACTAACTTCTTAAAACCTTTCTATTTTAAAAGGTGGAAGACTTGCATGCTTCATTCTGTGTATATAAATGCCTTATGTTACAAAGTTTCCATCTGTCACATGTCAAATGTCCTTGACCTCATTTTCATGGTCCAGAATATTTGATGTTTGCATACTTTGCAAGGTCATCATGCTCGTCTGACAGTTTTCACTTGACCTCGACCTCATTATATGGATCAGTGAACAAGGTTAAGTTTTGGTGGTGAAATCCATATCTCAGATACTATAAGCAATATGTCTAGTATATTTGATGTATGGAAGGATTGTTAGGTGTACATGTCCAACTGTCAGGTGTCATCTGATCTTGACCTCTTTTTCATGGGTCAGTTGTCAAAGTTAAGTTTTTGAGTTTTGGTCTTTTTTCTTCTAATACTAAATGTAATAGGTCAACTATATTTGGTGTATGGAAATATTTCATGATGTACATGTCAAGTCTCCCAGGTTATATTTGACCTTGACCTCATTTTCATGATTCAGTGGTAATAGTAAAGTTTTTGTGTTTTGGTCTGTTACACTATTAGCAATTGGTCAACTATATTAGTTGAATGCAAGGATTGTAAGATGTACATGTCTGCCTGGCATTGTTCATCTGACCTTGACCTCATTTTCAGGTTAAGTCTGTTTCTTTGAAGCTAAGCAATATGTAATCTATATTTAGTGTATTGAATGATTGTAAGGTGTACATGTATTTCTAGTTTGATTTCTATTACCTTGACCTCATTTTCTTGGATCATGTTAAGTTTATGTGATAATTGTAGTAAAGCTTTATATTAAGGACTATCAAAGGTGAGTAAAGAAGCAAGAGATTTCAGCATATGCTCTCTTATTCATGTTGAGTCCTTTTACAGCTGACTTACTTTATAGCATGGGGACTATACAAGCTTACATCCACTCATTTGAGCTCTAATGGATACCGGTAGGTGTCTAGTTGGCAATGATACCACATCCTCCTTATTTGTATTAACATATAAATCTGGCAAAGAGACTGGGAGAAACTGGGTTTTTATAGCTTATACAAAATACTGTATAACTCAACATAAAGACATGCATACTTTCCTGGTAAGGAAAACGTACAATTTAAGACAACTATAAATACAAGAGCTTGCTGTGCGGTGTGAGCCTAGTTTGCTACGTGTTGAAGACCGTACTTTGACCTATAATGGTTTACTTTTATAAATTGTGACTTGGATGGAGAGTTGTCTCATTAGCACTCATACCACATCTTCTTATATCTAAACAAGAGTATTCCAATTGAAAACATAAATATGGAAACCATATCAAGAATGTCAAAAAGAAAAAAAACAACAACATGTGAATCGAAAGCATTTTCATTGGTATGATTGTTATCAAGCTATTACTTACATAATAACTGACCATTATGTATAGGTGTATCAACAAAAAATGACATATACAAAGCTACTATCACTGCAGAAATGTTAAATAGTATCATATACAACCTGAAAAACGATTGTGTTACAATTAGAGAAATTCACATTTTAAGTTTAAAACCACTAATTCATAGCCCAATTTCTTAATGTTTAATTCTGTAATTTCAAGCATATATGGCTACTTTGTCTAAAGGTCAAATAAAGTGGCAGTTATTTCAGGTCAAAACTATACCTTTATATCCTGACTTGTGCTGAAAAATTCAACATACCTTTAATTGCATGATAGAGTGTACTGTTTCCCTGAAGTTTGATAGTACAAAAACAAATTCTTCTGATCTGAAGAACAGGGCAATTGTGCCCTCCTATTAAAATTTCATATGCTTCTTTATTATTTAAAACAAACCCTCAACAAGGATTTTACTATAATCCAAAGTCCCCTAGATTTAATTTGACAGCAAAACTTCCCAAATATTTCACCTATTGAAAAAGATACAGCTATATGTAGGAACTATTTTGTTTGAAATATGTACCAGTACTACTTTCTTGTATTTTCTTTCCAACTGGACCTGAACTAGTGGTTCTATAGTCTATACCTATAACATATACTAAACTAGCTAGGAAAACCAACACTTTTTCATGTATGCCTTATTTGAAGTTATTTCTTTTGTTTTCTTATTATAACTTTTTAACACAAAGCTTTTTTACAGGAACACTAGTAGTCTACATCTTTAAATTGACATCAGAGTTTTGCATATGAAGTCTTCTTTTTCTTGTATTGCATGGATATCATTCAAATTATGGAGACGCTTCACACAATTTTAAGACTAATTTAAACTAATAAATTTAAAATCTAAGTGTACACCTTAATTTTATACAGTATCAATATGGGGAATAAAATTTTCAAATTTATATGAATGTATAAATTTAAAATCTAGGAAGATACTATAATATTATACAGTAAAAGTTAAATGGGAATCAGAGCTTAAAATCTAAAAGGGTACTTGATACTCTGCAACAGAGACATATAATACAATATGTTTAATACTGCAAGTCTAGCGAGAATTAAAGCTTAAAATCTGAAAGCAAATTTTATACAATGCAAGTTAAGCTTAAAATATAACAGGTTACTTTATACAATATGAGTAATGCGGGAAAAAACCCTGTCTCTTCCAGTTTATCAGTCTATATACATACATACTCAAAAATATTGTTATTGGCAGAGCACTGTTCAGTAGCTACTTTATATACAAAGTAATTTTATAAACAACATCTCCTTGTATGCATATCCGAGAAGTATTTGTTTCTGTTTTAAATGGCCATTTAATGCAGCTGTTAATGGTTAAACAACTGTGAACTTTTCATATTTTTTTTTAAATGTGCTTAAGGTAGATGAGATGTCTTTCGTCTTATTGTATTTTAATATAGAAAATAATAATAGATCTACAGTTTAAATAACCTATTCAAATTTTGGAAATGGAATGGATTTCATTAGTAATACATTTCATCAAAAAGATGAACATTTTGGGTTGGGTCTCATTATAATTATTATTTTTTTTTGAAAAAAAAGCAACAAAAATTTACTTTACAAGGGGAGACAACTCCAACAACTCTTATAAAGTATAGTGTGGTAAAATTAACTATTTCGGTGTGTAGCAAGAGAACGATTCCCTTGAAAGCAAATATTAAGAGCCAACGTCTCATAATTTAACTTAAAATCAAATTGTTATGTTGTTTTCCATAACTAAAATAAAAAAATCATGTGAGACAAAAGGAACTATTTTTTTTGCTTTTGAATAGTTCTTTGATCAACTAGTATGCTGTTTACCATATTTTTAGAAAGCATGGTATAGACTATATTTTAGAAAATTATTACAAATCATAACAATTGACATCGAGACCCGCTATTCTACCTTAAACTGATAACACAACCATTTTTTGAAAATTAAAACATTCACTTTTCAAAAACTGTAGAGAAAACAGGAAAAATATTCTGACGATTTTTATCATTAATTATGATAGAAATTGCAAATGGACTTTGTTAATACCAAAGAAGTTGACAATGGGTTTCTATATGAATTTACCGGTACCCTAAAAATCAAAGAATACTATAAACACATATCATTTTTCAAATTATTTGTTCTACCATAATATAGCTACGGAAAACTGTTTTATTAAAGATTTATGGCAAGTAGCTATATCATGGGAAAACAAATAAAAAAACCCTTCTTTTTTCACTATAAAGGATATGTTTCATGGTTATTCCAGTGTAATTTTGGACTTTTTGTGTGCTTTGAGGTTAATCCGTATGGACCAGTCGATGGTGTTTATGAATTTTGTTTAATTGAATTTTGAAAATCTAAGGCTTAGACAATACAAGTATAGGAAACTGACCACCATTCACAGTTGTATTACCACTAACAGGTTCCTTGAATGTAATTTGATTCTGATCCCCATCCACATTACTACATTGTCTAATTTCTGCTCCAACACTACCTTGTACACATTCTCCACCTTCCAAAAATAGTTGCAATGTATAGCATGTTCCAGCTAACAACAATAGCGGAGCTCTAAACATTAAAACAACAACATTGCTCTGGCACTCAATACGACGATCTATTTTACCAATTATTTCATTCGAAGTGGTTTTAAAGAGCTTAAGTCTGGCAGAGAAGGATATATGTGCCTTGCCGTAAACACCTACAGACCGCAAATTACATGTTGTGTCTACTGTAAAGGATAGTCGTTCTCCATCTATATTATCGCACAGCAATAGTGTATTGGTATTACATACCATAAATCTGTTGACCACGATATCATTGTTGGCTTTGTATAATCTAGGTGAACAAATCTTTTTGTATTTATCATCTTCAGTGAAAGAAATGTCCTCAGTGCTACTGATGTACTGAAATATTTTATTACACATATATGTTGGAAGAATGTGGTCGAACACACATCTACTGGCAAAAAAAGAAATGCTCATTAAGCAGAATCTGATATGGGGTGCAAATAAATCCCAAATGTCAGGTGCATCATTGTTACTACAGAACACCGATATCAAATCAAAAAGAAATTCCTCGCTTACAATCAAAGAGTCTCTGCTGACAACCTTGATCATAAGTTGTATAGGAAGTGCATAAAAGTCCTCTACAAAGTTGGCACCAAGGTTAACAAATTTAGCATCTATATAGTTAAAACACATGTCCTTAACAGTATTTAAATTAAACTGATCTGAAATCATCAGAATATTAAAAACATTGGCATCACAAACTGACTTTTCCAAAAATGACTGGCAAGCTGCTAATAAGTCGTCAATCAAGAAGAATGTTGATGCATGAAGAATATCAGTTACATTGGTGTAGGTTATATCTATAGGAATGTCATATAGAAAATCAATGACCATTTTCATGGTACCTATCTGAAAATTGTTGCAGTTGACTACTATCTGATCATGATTAATATTGGAAGCACTCCATTTCTCCGACAATTTTTCCTCAAAATAATTACTTGATGTCTGCAAAATAACAGAATGGCAACTTATGGCATTGTCATCTTCACAGACCAATTTAACATTACAAAACTTTCCTGCACGGTATGCCTCTTGTAGTCTATCTTTAATAGTCATGGTATGGCTGTAAAAGAACGTAATCATAAAGCTGTATTAATTCTAAGCTTTTCATTGCATTATATTCAACCACTTTTTTAGAGGGTTGCAAAAAAGTATTTAAAAAAATAATAGGATATGTCACTTTTTGATTTTCATGTATTCAACTTTAAGCATTCCTGATGAAGGTAGAGCTACAAAAAATAAATGTGGAATGTGTCCACAGATGATGCCTCCGCTAATAAGCATTGTGTATAAGTTTTGTAACATGTGGTTGAGGCAAACTAAAATTAGAGAAGGGAAACGAAAAATGTAGCAATTTTTCCATTTGTAAAGGGGCATAACTCTAGAATGGTGAAAGTGACTCCACCAAAATTCAAACTTGATCTGTATTTAGTGGTAATAAGCATTGTGTATAAGTTTCATAACATTTGGTTGAGGCAAAATAAAGTTAGAGAACGGAAACCAACTTTGGGATGTACGTACGTACAGACGGACAAGGGTTAAACTTAATACCCCTCTGTTACGGCGGGGCATAAAAAAGCACTTATTGTAGAGAAATAAAAGTATAAAGTAATATTTTTATTGTCACCATGCAATATGAATACAAATTTATGAATAGAACATTTAGAGAAAATGTATTTATTTTCATGTAAATAAAAAAGAAACATCAACATCTATTCCTTTACATTCATATCTAATGATATATAACTCTTAGTACAATGTTTTCACTAGTTGGTATGTTTACATATGTATATATACAATATGAGGTCAATGTCAGAAAAATATAAACTTTTTTGTATGAGGCTCAGAAACTGGGTAAGGGAGAGGTTTAACCAAGCCCTTTCCCAGTTTTGTGCCGAATACAAAAAAGTTTATATTTTTTTTAAATTGACATAATAATGTTTTTATACTGCAACTTAAATAAATACATTGATAGCTATTTAAATGTAACACAAATTTCAAACTTATTTGGATCCCTTATTGAACCCCTGATTGTGGAAAAAGTGTTCCATGATGAAATTGACATTGCACAAAATATGACTGTGTTACTATATTTAGGAAATAAACACAACTAGGTGCAGTATAAATGAATATATACTAATATATGCACAATATTATTTTCATTCACATAAAATTTTCTATAATGATAAAGTTACACAAATAAAAACATTTTTTTACTCCTCTCACAGAAGGATATATTAAAGGATAAAATAAATGGGGAATGTGTCCATAGGACACAGATGATGCCGCCACTTGCATATCATATTAAGTTATAAAGGGACACAACTGAAGAATGGTGAAAGTTTATGAAAATTTATATGTAATCTAAGTTTTGTGGTAATAAGTATTGTGTATTTCTGAAAATTTTGTTGTGGAAAACTAATGTTAGAGAACAGACACGATAAATTCAGTAATTTTTCCATTTGTAAAGGGGCATAACTCTAGAAAAATAAACGTGACACCCCCAAAAATCAAACTTTCATAACATTTGGTTTAAGCTAACTTAAGTAAGAAAATGGAAATGAAAAATTCAGCATTTTTTTCTTTTGTAATGGGGCGTAACTTTAGAACAGTTAAAGTGACACCACCAAAATCATAACTTAATCAATGTTTTGAGGTAATTAGCATTTTGTACAAGTTTTAATAACATTTTGTTGAGGAAACATAAGTAAGAGAAAGGAAATGAAAAATTCAGCAGTTTTTCCATTAGTAAAGGCACATAACTTTAGATTGGTAAAAGTAACACCATCCAAATCAACCTTGATCTGTATTTTGTGGTAATGAGCATTACATATAAGTTTCTTTACATTTGGTTGAGACAAACTAAAGTAAGAAAATGGAAATGAAAAATTCAGCAATTTTTTCATTTGAAAAGGGGCATAACTCTAGAACGGTTAAGGGGATGCTACATGTACCAAAATTCAAACTTGATCTGTGCTTTGCAGAATTAGCATTGTGTTTAAGTTTCATTACATTTGGTTTCGACAAACTAAAGTTAGAGAATGGAAACCAACTTTGGGATGTACAGACGGACAAGGGTAAAACTAAATGCTCCCTCCCCTATAGCAGGGGACATAAAAATTTTAAACAAGAAGAGTAGGGTTCACAACTCCCTCAGAAGACAAGACAGAAAATTTGCTTATAAAAAATTATTATCTTGTTATTATAAGCTGAATTTTCCCAATACTTTTCTTTCCTTTATGCATTGAAAATCAGTATGGGTTTAGATGTGGGTTTTAAACAAGGTTGTTTTTCCTGTTCTATTAGTGCTAATGCTGTATGAAATCTAATTAAAGGTAATAAAATGCCACTAAGAATAGGAACCTGAAAATTCATTTTTTTTTCAAATCAAACAAAGTTTAGTTTTGAACCATAAGAACATCAAAGTGGACCAATCTAGAAATAAGGTTTTAAAATCCAATTACAAAATGACATGTTATGAAAGAAGTACACTAAGTCCCTTTGATCAAGAAGACTAAAAATGAGGTCATCATGCTATCTTATGAGTAAGAGAATTTTGTCCTAGTTTGTCTGGGCGGAATAAAATTACTAGTTTAAAAAGTCCATGGTTACTACTAGTATATCTAATCCAATGTCAGTAATATGTCTCTTATAAAATGCTTTCAGAATATAAAAAGACAAAACGTGGTCATCATACATTTTTTTTACAATAACATAAAATAAAATAGAAAACTTTCCAGAAGATTACTTTCTAAATTATACATTTTCTGAGTTACCTCCCCTTATAACATGCAAATTTATAGAAAATTGAAATCAAGCAAAACTTTTTAAAAATAATGTAATCAAGGCCAAATATATTCTTTCCTTCAAATGAAAATCATTGTTTCTAAGTTGCATTCCTGCATCAGAATTTGCTGACTTAATTAAAGTATAGTCCCATTTTAAGATGGAAGAAGACACCCATACCATCTTAAAAGCAGTTGAACTATTTGCAACTATAGATCATTTTATATATTTCATTAACCTTTATTGTGTCAGGTTCTCCGACAGAAATAGACTAAAATTTAATTTGATCCAAAACATAAATCAAAGATTCAAGTTGCCCAGTTGCACAGAATAGAAAACAGTCTATATTGAAATGTTTGCCAAAATTGAATGTAATTTGTTGACGGTAATCCTCATATTGTTAATCTCAGATGAGACAATTATCTACTGGCCAATCAACCAAGTGACAGGTAAATTGATATATTACAAATGAAATATAATTTCACACAATTAACAGCTATGTATCAACATGGTAAAACAATATATATCATTAATAATTGTGATTTAATTCATGCTTATACATTTACATTCATAGCATCTCAACATCTAAACACACACAAAAATCAGTTTCAATGTTTGTAGTTATCACAAATTCTCATACAAGTTTATGTTGATTCTGAAAAGTTTAGTCTTCAAAGATTTTGTCACCTGACACATCATTAAGATACCAGTAACAAATATTGTCTCTTCTAGTTAGAGTGGATAATGATGACTTTATGATTTGACTGACACAAATAAGTCTTTAAAATCTGAAAAAATAATGATAAAAATTAGTGACATATTTTTAATACATCTAACTTCTGTTAATGTGCATTCATTTATTTTCATTATTACCAATTTTAAACTGATTGAAATTGTCCTTTCTTTTTTTTTTGCCAATAGTTGAACGTTTAAAGGGGCACTAGCTGTCAAATTCATGTTCACCGATTTGACTCAAATTCTCATATTTGATTTATAACAATGTAAAACAATTATTCAAACTATTAAAAGTCTAAAATAAACAATTTACAGGACATGGGCTCGATAATATGTAGCTAAGTTTCGTGTGTATTGTAGTCTAGACGCCATCTAATTAACTATCGAGTTGACCTCCAAAGTCGTCCGATGACCATATAAGCGATGTCAACATAAATATAGATATAAATAGATTAAGCGAACTTGTGCAATGGGATTTTTCTATGTCTTTTTAATTTCGTATTTTGATTAAAAATATATGTTTATCATCGTTTTTACCTGTATAAGAATGATTTTTGTGGATTGAATCAGTCAATCAAATGATTTACTTTTGTTTCACTTTCAATGTTGACATTCTTTTCCTTTAAATAACTATACACGAACAATTCATGCGTTATCCATCTCTAGCTAAGTGGTTAAATTGAAGTTCACATGAATACGGATTCAATGAGGTCGAATGATTCACTTGCATCAATGTTTCTTAGCTTATTTTGACAAAATTAAACAATACTGGCTGCTAAAAGCGAATAATTATTTCACTATTTCACTTTCATTAATGATTGAACAAAAAAAATCCCATTTTCGATTTTTTTTATATCTCGTAGCTAGTGCCCCTTTAAATTTGTGATTTACCTATAACCATGGAATCAGTGGAAATTGGTGGTATCCGATGGATTATAATGAATCAACAGGAACTATTTAACCTTCATTAAATTGATTGAAAATATCATTATTTCCATTCTCACATACATATGAAACCTAAAAGTTTGTTGTTAGATGTGTAATTATGATTTTGATGAGTATAGCAAATACTCTTATTTCAAGGGAAATCTGCAAATTGCTACTTGTATACAAAATCAACATAAGTTATTGTGCATGACTAATTCTATTGTGTATATCACCAAATTTGCCATAATAGTACCTCTAGGATAGCAAGTTCTCCATTCTGTCCTTAAGATATATAAATAAATGCCGAGCATTTTGTACAGAATCAACTGCAGCTTGGATGTTTATATTGTCCCTAAGTTCAGTTAAAACTGCCTCAAAGTCTTCATCAATTTTATGAAATAGACTTGCTTCTTGGTGACACTGCTCATTGAAAAAATTTAATGTCAGCTCATCTGCAGGAATACAGAAATCTGAAGTACCTAAAACAGATTTTAAACTGGTATAAATATTACAGAAAATGAAAACATAAAGAAGTTCATATCCTTATCATCATAAATTTTCATCTTTAGACAGTATTCTGTATTGTTCCAAGAGTGCTATGATGTTGTGGTGTAATTTTGTTTTCATGTAGTCAATCTATTCTCAATTTGAGTTTATCATTTTGTAATTTATGAAACAATTTTCATGAATTGTAAACTTATATCTTTAATTTTATATGTGTTGTTGCTCTGCCAAACACAATGTAGCATACAATGAAAAGTTGGAATAACAGTTGTGGAAAGTAACTCAGTCACCTAGCATGCAAATAATATATATGTCATGAATATATTAGTGTTTTTCACTTAATGTTTACCAGGTATCAATTATTTTAATAATCAGTTAATTCAAGTAAATCTTCTTAAAACTTTTGAGAAAACAAGCATGCACATGTGTCATGATAATAACACTTTCACACACTATCAAAAGATTTGAAAACAGTAGTTAGATGTCTGGTAGATCAATAAGCTGTTCCACTTTAAAAATCTAACTGTGGAGCTCTTGGTCGAAATTAAAGTCATTCTGTTAAGTATCAGGAAAGTTTGTGTGTGTTTTTTTAAATTCATTCAACATATTGACTAAAATAAGTAGGGAGTTTCTGACAGATAAAAAAATCCTCACACTTAAAAACTCATTGCTATTACAAGTGCAAGCTGTTGAATAAATGTGAAAGCATTCTTTAAGAATTTTTTGAGAAAAGTGTGACACATATATTTGTTGGGCAAACAAGGTGAATGCAATGTAGGCCCAACTCGAGTTGTGGTAGAAAAGTAATTGATTAATAAATCAAGAATCTGGAAGCCAATTCATTAAATCATAGGTATGAAAAAAAAACTAATACAATTACTTGTACATGTATAACCAGGTGGTTAATATTATGAGAGGGGAAAAAATTCAAAAAATATGCATTGTATTCTTACCATAAACTTCAGGATAATGATATAGAACATCAGGTATGCCTGACAATATATCTCCCTGATTTTGTTTTCTTATATTATGGCTGTTCCAAAGAACTATAAGGTCTGCTAAATCTTGTTGAATTATCGGCAAATATACAAACTGCAGGCATATTCTGAAATGTTAATGGAGTATATTTCAATAAGATCCTAATATGATCCCTATTTAGAGCAATATGAATATCACAATGAATCATACATAAAATCATATTGTTGTAAAAAGATGTGGGTCTTTTTGTTGAAAAATTATGTACATGTAATAGCATTCTTTTAATGACATGAAGAACATATCTTGACTTTAATATTTAGTTTGACGAATTTCAATCGATTTAATTTACTACACGCAACTTTTCTTCACATACTGATGATTTTGTCAACTTTCATCAAAACTCTATTTTTGGCATAATTTGAGTGTAAATTTCAAAGTTTTTTTTACAAGAAATAGTTCTGTTTCACATTTTATGTGCATGAATATTAAACAATATTACATATGGTGTAGCATTCTTTTGTTTGCATTGGATATTAGGATCACATGTTTCAAAGGTTATTTTATGTATCCAAAGCCCTGGTTCTATTTTTATGTATATTGATGTTATGTTTCTATTTATATGTTTATTGACTGTAAATATAAAAAAATCTTGCTAAATTTAGATTCATGACGTCATAACATGACACCGAACATACATGAAGGATTGAGCACTAGTAGACAAATAGAAAAGAAAATTTGCAAGTATATCAGAAAGAGATATCAATAATTTTATGTTAAATGCAGTTGCTGAGAATACAAGGAAGCTTACAACACAACAAGCTATGAAATAGTTCAAAGAATATTGATATTTTCAATAACATGTTAAAATTCTTGCAAAATACATTTTAAACAAGAATGTGCCCCTCTCGCACTATCATTTTCAATGTTCAGTGGACTATGAAATTGGGGTCAAACATATGTAATATTTCAATCAAGGACTTTCACTCAGTCAATTCGTTATATAACTATAATAAATTTGAAGAAAACACAAACAATTGAATAAAATTGTCATCAACCACCAATGACTAGAATAAGGAGTTTTCAGACGTTTTCCTCCAAATTGTCTTAATAGTAGATCTTTTCTTGATGATTTTGGTTTCCTATTATCTATTCTAATTTTTTTAATATAAGGCAAAAAATGTAATGAGTCAACGGATGATTTTGATCGTATTGTCCTATTTGTAGAACTTGTCTTGTTAATCATTTTTGTTATTTAAAGTTTGTCTCTATCTTGCATGGTTTTTTATTTTATTGTTTTGACACAGTGTCTTACAAGCCTACAGATAATTTGTACCTCATGGGACATTGATATTTGTGGTTCACCTATACTCATAAAAGTCAGCGACAATTGATATCCCACAAATAATAATCAACAGTCAATTGGAATACTACAATGATGTGTCCCACTGTTGAAGCAACTTTGCTACAATTTTCCCACTATATAGTTTCATTTAGGATGCAACTCACTTGTGGATTTGACTGTTAACATTCAATAAGCCATCTGCTTGAAGGCACTGTAATGAAAAATATAACTGGCTTAAAATCTATATCACAAGATATCGAAAATGAGCTGACAGCATTTTAGAAATGATTTGTACTTTTACATGCAGATGATATTGTTTTATTAGCAGAAAACAGCACTGATCTACAATACATGTTAGACACCATTTACAAATATTGTGAAGAATGGAACATGAAAATAAATACAAAGCATTGCAAAGTTTTGATCTTTTCGAGCGGCAGAATGCCAGCAAATCTAAAGTTCACAGTAAATTGTAAAAGAAAACAAATATTTAGGAATTTTACTTTCTAGATTCTAGAAGTGGATCCTTTTTATCAAATTAAAAATACTGTGGTATGTCGGAATCCAATATATAGAATGCACAGTTTGCTCATAAATGGGTGTCAAAATGTACTAAGCAAAATCTCAAAGACCAGTTTCAACAAGAATTGCTAAAACTTCATGTTATGGTATTTTTAAAAATAATTTAAGAAAAAAATTTTGTTTTTCCTTACAAATTCATGTTTACATTATGCAAATATATATGTGGTAGTCACCACTTGCCAACTGAGTCTGGACAGTGGCAGGGTCTACTGAGAGGACATTGGTGACGAGGACCATTACAATATGAATTGTGGAACATTTAAGTCGGAAAGAAAGAAATTTCAACCTAAATACAAAAACAGGCTCTCAAGAGCCTGAATCGCTCACCTGTATTTCAGAGGAGAAGATTTTTAAATGTTAGCAAACTTGATGAACAAATTGTGTAAAATTGTCTTTAAAGGGCAATAACTCCTTAAGGGGTCAATTGACAATTTTGGTCATATTAACTTTTTTGTAGATCTTACTTTGCTGAACATTATTGCTGCTTACAGTTTATATATATCTATAATAATATTTAAAATAATAACAAAAAACAGCAAAATTTTGTTAAAACTACCAATTCGGTGGCAGCAACCCAACAATGGGTTGTTGGATTTGTCTGAAAATTTCAGAGCTGATAGATCTTGACCAATTGAACAAATTTACCCCCGTCAGATTTGCTCTAAAAGCTTTAGTTTTTGAGATATAAGCCAAAACTGCATTTGACCCCTATGTTCTATTTTTAGCCATGGCGGCCATGTTTTTTGATGGATCAAAACTTCGGATACAATTTATAAACTAAATACCCTAAGGAACATTTAGTTAAAGTTTGAAGGTATTTGGCCCAGTAGTTTCAGAGGAGAAGATTTTTGAAATAGTTTACGACGACAGACAACGACAGACGACGGACGCCAAGTGATGGCATAAGCTCACATGGGGCCCTTTGGGCCCTGGTGAGCTAAAATTCAGCCCCTAATATCTATCAATTTGATCAACTGTTCAACTCATCAAATATTGTAATATTAGAAAAACTATGTAAATTTATCAAAGTTATTATTGCGAACCCAATGAAAGTTTTCCACAGTGCCATCTCTATCTTGACAAGGTATTTAAACTTTTGTAAGTTCACCTGTCCTATTGAATGAATACAATAGCTATTTTTCTCTGTGTAGTTTATTCACTGGGACCTTTAAATATCTTCTAAGAGAAATCTATCACTCATTGATTAATTTACCTGAGTAAAAAAAATTTCTTATATATAGACAAAAATACTTTTTTTATACTCGTTAACTGCGTGTGATGATGTATTATTCAATATTAATAATATATTTTCATTCAGTTTAATATAAACATTGATTCAATCATAAAAAGTGGATTTCAATCAAAAGTTTTATCAATGTTCCTATTGAAATTTGATTTTTTTTTGTCTAGTTATAGAGAACATTTAAGAAGATCCTAATTTGAACATTATAATTTTTAAGTTTTTATTCATGTCAGACAATTTTTTTTTTAAAAGGAACAATGTTGAAAGTTTTGTCGGAAATCAACTTTTTATGATTGAATCAATGTTTATATTAAACTGAATGAAAATATATTATTAATATACAAGTGTGGACACAGATCAGTGTGGACAGTATGATTGGATGTTTGACAGTGTTTTATATGACAAAAGGAGTTCTATGTTTTATGTTTTCTATGTATTAACTGTGTTGCACAATGACAACCAACATGAGCATTAGGGGTGTTGTTTGTGTAATATTTAGTTTTTTATGTTCAACAGATACTAATTGCATTAATTACTAAATGATTATGATAGAATATATATGTTCCACATCTTTGATTTTGGATACATTTTGTAGCTAGGAGAGGAACACATAATTGGTTCATTTTTTTCTTAATGTGATTTTTTTTTATATGGGAGATGGTATCTGAGAACATGTATTTGCTTACTATTTGTATGGTTCTATTTATATTACTTTGTGGGGGATTGTCAGTATCATAAGTAAAAGATTTCGGTTAAATGTGGAAATTGTTTCTCAGTTTAGAAGACATTTAATGTTTTTTAGTAATGACAATGCCTGACATGATGATTGGGGCTAGATGAGCTAGAAAGTGAATTTCTGTGTTATTTTTAATTAATTCTTTGAAAATATCTCCTCCAAAGCTGGTCAAAGCAAAAAAAAAGTTTTGACCAGTATGAAAATGATATCAACAAAAGAACCTTTGTGAGCATGCTTCAAAGACTCATAACTAACTACAGAAGTCAGATGATAAAATGTCAAGTGGGTATTATGAACATCTACTTAATATGTCTAAATATCTAAAAAGTTTTAGTATTCAATATGAAAAAGCTATTGCAAAAGTATTCTCTTTTCAGTTTTTTTGTTATATGGATACAAATATAAGTGATACCAATACAGTAAGGCAGTTTTGTTATGGTATGAAAGTGTAGTAACTAACATTTACTGTTAATTCACACAAATTAAGAAATAAACAAATGAATGATAAATGTTGAACATGTACAATGAAATATATTTTAGAAATCAATTAGGCCAGATAGGCCTTATAAATTCTGATCTTTTTCTTAACATACTGAATGACCATTTACACTCAGAACTGAGTCACCAGTAGGCAGTACAGATGTAAAAAAAAAAAAAATGTGGATAGTGTCCACATGTGGACACAGATGATGCCCCCACTTGCATATCATATAGTTATAAAGGGACATAACTGAAGTGGTAAAAGTGACGCTACCCAAATTTGAACTTGATCCTAGTTTTGTGGTAATAAGCATTGTGTGCAAGTCTCATAACATTTGGTTGAGGCTAACTTAAGTAGAGAACAGAAACTAAAAATTCAGCAATTTCTATTTGTAAACACGCAATAAATAATTATAACTCTAGAACGGTTGTGTATAAGTTTTATAACATTTGGAAGTTGGAGAACGGAAACAAAAAATTCAGCAATTTTTATGTTTATAAAGGGACATAACTCAAGAATGGTAAAAGTGTTGCCACCAAATTTGGTACTTAATCTGTATTATGTAGTAATAAGCATTGTGTATAAGTTTCATAACATTTGGTTGAGGCAAACTAAAGTTAGAAAACGGAAACAAAAAATTTGTACTTGATCTTAGTTTTGTGGTAATGAATATTGTGTATAGGTTTCATAATGTTTGGTTGGGGCAAACTTAAGTTACAGAATGGAAACTAAAAATTTTGCAATCTTTCAATTTATAAAGGGGCATAACTCAATAATGATTAAAGTGACACTACCCAAATTCAACTTGATTTGTGTTTTATCAGTGGAAGTCAAAATTAAACATTGCATTGTATAAAGCATTGATTGTAGCTGATTCAACTATAATCATGGACAAAGGAAGATAACTCCAATTAAAAAATAAATTGATATTTAGAAGAAAATAAAATTTTTGAAATTTTTCCATTTCTTAAGGGGCATAACTCTAGAATGGTTAAAGTGACGCCACCAAAATTCAAACTTGATCTGTGTTTTGTGGTAATAAGCATTGTGTGTAAGTTTCATAACATTTGGTTGCGGCAAACTAAAATTAGAGAACGGAAATGAAAAATTCAGCAATTTTTCCATTTGTAAAGGGGCATAACTCTAGACCGGTAAAAGTGACGCCACCAAAATTCATACTTGATCTGTGTTTTGTGGTAATAAGCATTGTGTATAAGTTTCATAACAGTTGGTTGAGGCAAACTTAAGTTAGAAAACAGAAACGAAAAATTCAGCAATTTTTCCATTTGTAAAGGGGCATAACTCAAGAACGGTAAAAGTTACAAAACCAAAATTCAAACTGGATCTGTGTTTTGTGGTAATAAGCATTGTGTATAAGTTTCATAACACTTGGTTGAGGCAAACTAAAGTTAGAGAATGGAAATGATAAATTCAGCAATTTTCCATTTGTAAAGGGGCATAACTCTAGAACGGTAAAAGTGACGCCACCAAAATTCAAACTTGATCTGTGTTTTGTAATAATAAGCATTGTGTATAAGTTTCATAACATTTGGTTGAGGCAAACTAAAGTTTTAAACCAATTTTGGGACGTACGTACGTACAGACGGACAAGGGTAAAACTTAATGCCCCCTATGATACGGCTGGGGCATAATAAAATGTAACAAAAGAACCTAGCATCATATTGCTAGTAGCGCCAGTAGCATTGTTTGGTGAATTTGTGCTTCTTTTTTTTAGTTTGGCTAATGGACAAAAAATCTAAATAAAATGCTTTTATCTCCCTATTACTTACATTGTTCATAGAATGGATACTACTTTGACAATTCCTTGTACATGAGAGTTGTCTGTCAAATCTTTATTTCACAAAGCATGAATTGCATAACAATGAACTGAGCTCAAAGCAAAGCACTTTAATAATACACTTAGACAATGAGCTCAATCCAGTGATATACTTTGTACTACAGGTCCTTCATGAACATCCTACATGTACTGGCCAAAACCATATCTCACAAACATGCCATACTACATGGTTGGATCAGAAGTCCTGAAAAAGACATGAACTTTATTAACATATTTTAAGTATATGCATCGGTTAAAACTTTCACAAATTTGTGGTAAAATTATTCAGTATCTAGCAACTATCAATCCCTTCATGCACAAATTGATATAGG